CTCCAGGCTACGAGAAGGTTGCTTGAGCCTTGACAACCAGCTTAGTGACAGCCCTTCAGGAGCAAAAGCCTTCCAGAGCATGCAACCCCCAGGCACTAGTACTGCACAGCTCTGAACTCCACCAAGTCTGAGGGAAGAGCATAGTATCTATCTAAGGCTAGCTCTGAACTACCTAAAAGTCAGTGGGGAAAGAGATCTAGGCTGGTGAACTGTGACTTGCCCAGTGTAGGAGGAGGCTGAGACACTTTGAGATCCATCACCTGGGAAAACCACCATCAGAGGAGAGACTCAGGAAATGAGTGATAAGGAAAATAAGGTGGAGGGACTGAATGAGACGGTAGGGTGGGGAAAGACTGAAAGCACCAAAGATTTCAGAAAGAAGAAATTTCAACTGCTTTGAATATAAACAGACAAATCAACAGGAAAACAGTAACAACAAAAGGAAATATGGCCTCCAGATCTAGTAAATGAGTTCAAGCAGCTATGAATAAAATGAAGGAAAATGATCTGATATTTGATGAGATAGAGGACTTTGTAAAATTTGTGGTGACATGAAGAAACACAGTGAAAAGATGGAGAAAAATAGAAGAAAATGTGAAATATCTCATGAGGAAAACAATGGACCGGGAAAATAGATAGAAAAGAGATAATTTAAGAATTATTGAATTACTCAACTGCTATAATTTTTTTTAAAAGCCTAGACATCATATTTAAAGTGATTATAAAGGAAAACTACCCAGATACCTTAGAACCAGAAGGGAAAGTAGAGTCATGAAGAGTCAGATACAACTGAACAATAATAAATCCCAACAAATAAGAATAAGCATTCATTAATTGCACTACTGAGGGCAGCTAGGTTGCAGAGTGCCTAGAGTACTGGGCCTGGAATCAAGAAGACCTATCTTTCTGAGTTCAAATTTGGCCTCAGACACTGACTAGTTGTGTGACCCTGGGCAAGTCAGTTAACCATGTTTACCTCAGTTTCCTCATCTATAAAATGAGCTGGAGAACAAAATGGCAAACCATTCCAGTATTTTTACGAAGAAAACCCCAAATGGGGTCACAAAGAGTTGGACACAACTGAAAAATGACTGAAGATGACAACAAAATTTGTACTATGATGTGATGGACATATATGAAAATTAAACACTCCCTATTCTAATGAATCTTACACTTCTGTGGAGAAAACAAGTACATACATAAATATATGTGTGTGTGTGTGTGTGTGTGTGTGTGTGTGTATATACATATATATATATATATATGATATATAATAAATGAATGGAAATGCATTTATTAAGGACCTTCTGTGTGACAAGCACTGGTTATACAAATAGAAAAGAAAGACAGTCTCTGCTTTCAAGGAGTTCACATTTTAATCTTCTAACCAGAAGAGACAAGACAGAAAATCTTAATGGTTCTTGGGGGCACAGCAATAGGGTGGATGGCAATGCTCAGTGTTCCTTAAGGCACAGAGTTAGAGAATGTGGTAGTTCTCCTTATTACTGGAAGGATGATGATGATGATAATGATGATGATATCTAGAATTTATATAACTCTTCAAGGTTTGTTAATTGCTTTATAAACATCTCATTTGATTGCATTTGATGACCCCCTGCTAATCAAACAAGTGTGAGTGCCTATATCTGTCCCACCAAAAGGGACCAAGAGGTACTGCGGGGAAGTGAGGAATGGATCTGAAGTTTAGAATGGATCTAGTGTTCCTTCCCTCCCAGAGGGGATGAAGATTAAGGGTCAGCTGAGAAAAGGGGAAGAAAATGTTGACAGTAAAGTTGGTGAGAAGAGTAGATCACACTGGGATCTGAGCTAGGGTATACCGGTGTTGGGGAAGGAGAAAAGTTTCCCTGTAGCCTATTCCCCTTCACCCTCTGGCATTCACTGGCATAAACGAAATAGATGCCAGGTGATGTGGTGGGGAAGTGTAGTGACAGCTGGGTGGGGAGTCAGAAATAGAAGGTGGTATTGAGCTGAGTTTTAAAGGATAGAAGGAATTCTAAGAGATAAAGAGGAGAAGAAAGTACATTCTAGGCAGATGGGATAGCCTGTGTAAAGGTACAGAGACCAAAGATGGAGTATTGTGTAGGGGGAACAGCAAGAAATCTAGTCTATACTGTAGATTGCTGAAAAGGGAATAATGCATAACAAAATTGGAAAGGTAAGTCAGGGGGTGGGGCAGATTATGAAAGGCTTTAAAAACCAAAGAGAGAGTGTTCATATTTGATCCTGAAGGCAATGAGGAGCCATTAGATATTACTGAGTGACAAGTCAGATGAATACTTCTGGAAAATTATTTCAATAACTATGTAGAAGATATATATGTGGAAACTGTTTAGGAGACTATAGTAAGAGTCTAGGCAAGATGGGGGCCTAAAATAGAAGGGTGGCCATGTGAGTAAAGAAGAGGGAACAAACATGAAATGTCACAGAGGTAGAAATGACAAGATATGGCACCTGATTGGTATCCATGTGGTGTCTACTACATGGAATGAGGAAAAGTGAGACATTGAGGATAAATACCGAGGTTGTGAACCTGTAGGGTCCTTGACAGAAATAGGGAGGTTTAGAAGAGATGTAGATATTATGATTATGTAGGGAAAGAGCATAGGATCTGATAAAAATGAATATAATATACATCTAATTCCTTATGCCAAAGTACTTTAAAGGATGTTAGAACTAAAAGAAGAAATTGCCATTTGTCTTAATAATGATAATAAATGTGAAAGAAATTAATTTTATAGCAAAAATTTGCTATCCAAACTCATGCACCTGTTAAATATTTTGAAAAAAATTATAATTAATCAATATAAAGCTTTCAAGGTCATACTCTGATTCATAGAGATAAGATGACTGCATTTCTGAAAAAGAAGCACAGACAATAAGTTTACAAAGCCACATTTTAATACATCTCCTAATTTGAAAATAACTTCTCTGAAAATGATATAAAAGAAAGAAAAGATGCTTACGAGTCAATTCACTGGTCTGGTTCACAGCTGTCATTTTATAGAACTAGGTATTTCTAGATATGCATCAATAAAGAACCCATTTATCTCCAACAAATATAATCCATTTGGTCCTAGTTGATCTAAACAAGAGTAGCTAAAATAAATTTTGCCTTGTGAAACTGAAATAAGCATTTCAACATCAGAATTTTATTCTGTTTTGTTACTGGTGAATAAAGAGCTCTTTGGTTCATCAAAAAAGTGATATAAATTTTATTACCATTCATCACAGATCCAAAGGCAATCCTCAAACTAGTCAACTGGTCAATCAATCAGTTGACCAGCATTTATTAACTGCTTACTATATATCAGCACTATTCTAATCTCTGGCAGAAAAAAAAAGATATAAAACACATTTTCCTAGATTGGGGCTTTGTCATATTTGCTACATATTTCATCCATCCATCCATCCATCCATCCATCCATCCATCCATCCATCCATCCATCCATCCATCCATCCCTCCCTCCCTCCCTCCCTCTATCTATCTATCTATCTATCTATCTATCTATCTATCTATCTATCTATCTATCTATCTATCTATCTAATCTATTCATTCATTCATCTATTCACTTAACTAGATTCACTTTATTTATTTATTTGCTTGTTTTGGTAGGGAAGGCCTTTCCTGGCCCTATGTTACATCTACAACAAAGGACCCCCTGATAGCCCTGTTGCCACTGTACCTCTCTTCTGGTGTCACCCTGCACTTTGGTCCTTGTCCTACGAGGCAACAGAGATTCTCCTGCTTTTCCACATTGCCAAAGTCCCTGGCTACACTTCCTGGGGGAGAGGTGTAGAGGATTGTTGGGGCATGGACAGTTAGGTAGGGCAGTGGATAGAGCTCCAGGCCTGAAGCCAAGAAGACCTGATTCAAATCTAGCCTCAGATACTTACTAGCTGTGTGAACTTAGATAAGTCACTTAACCTCTGCCTACCATAGTTTCCTCATCTGTAAAAAAAAAAAAAGAGGGGGGTAATAATAGCACCTACATCCCACGGTTGTTGTGAAGATTAATTCAGATACTATTTGTACAGGGATTATCACAGTGCCTGGCACATAGTAGGTGCTATAAAAATATTAGCTATTATTATTATTACAGGTTAGCATCTCTGGGGAATTTGAAACATTGTCCCCTAAATGCTTGTACTTTAGTAGAGAGGCCTGAATACTGCACCTTGATTGCAAACAAAGATGAAGACAAGTTCCGTCTCTTTTCTAAAATGGGATCCTTAGGCCTCCTAGCCCTACAGCTGAGGTCTTCCCCACCTAGACCTTACCCTCCTCCCTCTCCTACCTGAGGCCTACCCAGAAAGAGAATGTGTCACCTACACCAGCCAGTTTTTAGGTGTCTTTACACCACTCCCTGTCCCTCATGCTTTAGGTCTAGAGGAAGTCTCTGTCTGCGTCACCCCCTCAGTGTTTTCCACTCATTCTCTCCTGCCTGCCCCAAATGCCAGAAATGCTAGCTAATGCTACGATCTGGCCAACATAGAGATTCCACCTGTGTGATTAAATACACACATATTCTGCATATATGTATATAAATACTTATGTATATGTATATTCATGTGCATGTATACAGATATAAACCATATGAGGGTGGCTGGCTGACAACCAAGATTCACACAGAGAATAAGTAGCAGAGGTTAAGATTTTAATTCAGGGTGTTTTACTCCAGATAACAGCTGCTTCCTGCTCCCACCCCCTACCCCCAACCCTGCACTCGCAATTATTTTGAATAACTATAAAATGAATAGATTAAACTAGACAATCTCTAATATCTCTCACACATTCTAATACTTCTCTAAGTCTGTGGTTCTATGACTTAAAACCTACGGGCACTTACTGTTTGATACTCCTTACCTTGTTGATCATAATGCTTTAGAAAACACATATGTAATGGCAATTGGTTATTTTTTCTGCCAGCTTCCCTTTCTAACTATGGTCTACAATAAATTAAATTACATTGGACAACAAATGGTTCACAATGCTTCTCCTCAAATACGATTTATTTAGCAATACCATAATAGGAAAGATGGACAAGTACAGATAGTAAAAACACAATTGTAGTAGGTTACCATGATAAAAATTAAATTAAAGAGTCATTAGCTAGATCCCAAAGCGCACTATTTTTACAGGAGAGATCTGTTAAACAGCAAACATTGAGTCCAAAGTGCAACAGGATAGTACCAGCCTGAATAATGTCTCCTCACAATAAGCTAAATGGGGATGGGGATGGGGGCCAGTTTCTATATGACCAGTAGGGAGAGGCACAGGGAATAGGTAGTTTTGCTCTCAGGGTAGGCTTGGTTATTCTCCCATCCTTCACTGATCCATTCACTGTCCTGGGAAGATCTGGATCGAATGGATCTCTTAAGTTGTCTCAAGTAGCAATAGAAAAGGAATTTCTTTTAATGTGTTATCAAGTGGTCCAAAAGAAATGACACAGGTAGAAAAAGTGGAATCACTCTTCTATGGGACACTACCTCAGGATAGTCTCTCACAGTACCTAGAAAGGTAACACGGAAGCAGGGGCTGTTTATAATATCATTCATATAAGGAGCTCTTCTGAAAGGAAATTCGCTCTACTAATGAAGGTTGACACTTCCTCTTCCACTGATAGCCTTACAGAGTTACCTAAAGGACTAAGAGGTTAAGTACCCAGGGTGACACAGCCAGAGATGGGACTTGAATCCAAATCTCCCTAGCTCAGAGGCCAATTCTCTATTCACTAGTGATGCCATATTGCCATTCATAAAGGTAATATAAGTGGACAATTTTGGTTAAAGGCAAGACAGAAGAATTGATGAATTCGATACACATATATTTGTTTGGTTTGGTTTTTGGTAATAAAAGCCAGTAGCGCTTAAATTATTCATAGAGAAACAGAGTGGTCAAACTCCCTATATTATTTGAGAATCAGTTTTTTCACCCTTCTTGTTTTGAGAGGATCTAAAACTTTATTAAAAGGCCACCAAGAACAGCATTGCACATTAGGCTTTACAAACAGTTAAATTCTAAATTTTAAATGAGTTTAGAGTGGACAGTCTCTTTCTACCTGATAAATAGCTAGCTTAACACTAACACCAAGAACCAATCATAACATTTTTCTTCCAATGCAGAAAAAAAGAAAACAAGGAAAGAAGGAAAAAAGAAAGAAAAACAGGAACAAAGGAAAGGAAATAAAGAAAAGCAAGACTTGCATTTTTTAATGATACAAAGTGGCCATGATACACATGAGGAATTAATCTCTTCAACACTATCAGTATAGATCAATCTTTACTCTTAAAATAAAAATATCAAGTGCATTGTAACATCTATGATACAATTTCCTTATACAGCTATGCTGTGTCAAAGGCTGAGGTGAAACAAAAACTAAAGGCCTCATTCACAAGACGTGGAAATGCACTTTGTACACTTCTTATGCAAATATATTTCATACATTAAAATTATGCATACAAAATATGCATATTAGATATGGCTTACACATTAAAAGTGATCTAAGTTGTAAATGGCACAGTCCCTCTACCTTGATTTGCAAGCTTAGGGTTTTATCCATTTAAAAAAATATTGCTTAACATTGCACAAACCAGAAAGGAAGCAGGCCCAAAGACAGACAGAACTCCTTAGTTTTAGTGTGACAATTTGGCTCATTTCTTAATCTATAGTGACTCCCGTGATGTTTTCAATAGATCTTTGTGCTCTGCAAAACACATAGACAAATCAAACCCATGAAGTTCATGTCCACCTCAAATTCTCAATGAATATTTACAATATCTGATCCAAGCTAATCATGCTATCAGTTCTCAACAAAATCATTCTTCATCTTGGAGCAACCTGGAAGTTCTTGTACATGCACACAGCATTACACCACTGAGAACAGACTGAGGGAGATGAATAAGACACTACAAGACTGGAAGTTCTTCTCTGATTAGTGCATTAGGAGAAATATATATGTATATGTACGTGTACATACATATGTGTATATACATACATATCTGGGATTCCACATAGTACATTTCAACCAGCATTTGTTGAATATACATTTTCTTTTTACATACATACATCTTTCATTTGTTTTGACCATCAATGATCAATATTTTTCTCCATCTGCCAGGCCCAACACTCCAGCTGATAAGTTCAAGATTCAGTTCCAAAGTTTCCTGCTGACAATGACTGTAGACTCCTCTTTGAGACTGTAAGCCTATGGAAGGTAGGGTTTGTGTTTGACTGATATTGACATCACCAAGCTCAATGCCACATGCTCTTAAGATTTTAATGATGATAACGTTGACAATGATTATGATGAGCTACAAGTTGACCAGTTAGTTTCAGAGAAAGGTTCCACTGACTTTATCAGAAGTTCTCATTCATGATGAGGTCTCCACTACTTTGTAGCCCCAATACAATTGTATATTCATTGCTGACTTAAGTGTCTGATTTCAGTTTTAGGGTTTTCCAACTTTGTTCCCAAACAATGATAGAAATCCAACAAGGATGATCTAAGTGGTCTGCCATCCAATAATGCAGAAATAAATCTTTTCCCAAGAGGTTTAAAAAAAGAAATTGCCAGCTGTAGTACTTTTCATAAAACAGTACATTAGAGAATAGATGAATGAATGAATGAATGAATGCATCATATACTTATACACATTTCACAGTCAGCTAAGTTAGAACAGCTTTCAATAATGCAAATTTCAAAAGTAATCCAACTTTTGACTAAAAAGTTTTTTTTTTCTGGCTTGATTGAAGAAGGCCAAACAGTAGAGGAAACACAATAATGATGACATGATGACAGTAACAATAATGAGAAAACACTACTGAAACCTTGAGAATATTGAAATGGCCTGAGTTACCAGCTCAGGGTTCCATGTTTTTAGCATTGTTTTCTTCCATTATCTTCCATTAAAAAGGGCAGGGTCAAAGAATATGCTTAGAGTAGAGCCTTCTGGCCATTTGAGGAGTTAGGACATTAATGTGCTGTTCTGATTTTCCTGAAACAAAATCCAAATAAAAAGCAGGAATCATAATTTCATCATTCCATAACTATCTCTCATTTCTAGTTAAGCCAATATTTATTCTTCACAACTAGATTCAAATGTGAGACATCAGTGTCTTAGCCCTTGCAAACAGCCAAGTTCAAGAAAACAATGAGTAAAACTTCAACAACTTCTTTTAATAAGAGAGCATTGGATTTAGAGTGAAGATTTCAGTTCCAGTTTTGGCTCTGTTGTTTGCCACCCTGGGAGTCTGTGAGAATTGGTTGGCTTTTCTCAACCCATTTTCTGCCCTAGGGTTGATACGGGGAGCAAGGGTATCCCCATGACAGTTCTTTAAAGTATTGTTACCAGTTTTTCATGGGGAAGAGGGATGACTTTTAAATCTATGTTGTTCTCAGGTGGATAGCTTGACAAGGCCATTTCAAAGTATACTTGAAACTATGAGTACAAATATTCATACCACAACAACCTTTGAGAGGTTTTTAGTGAACCTAGTGAAGTTTTTACATTACAGTACTTTTATTCAGTGCTCAGAATGGTGCTTGGTATAAAGTAAGTGCTTAATAAATGCACGTGACTAATCATATCATTCACCTGTACAATAGTTTACAGAACTTTAAAGTACCAGGTATCCCCAAAGTCTTAGTGCTGTTATAAGCTTTACTAACTTCAGAAGTATAAATGCTACTAAATTTTAAAAGAAACATTTGAGAAGCTAATTATTCAAAAATTTAATATAACCACCATCTTTTACTATACTTTGCTTAGTTTATTTTCAAACTTTGGATATTAATATCAAATAATGTTTTATCTACCTTTTGAGGTCACCTGAGCACATACACACAACTGTTCCCTCTTTTTCCATTACTCATTAAAATCACGAGAGGATATTATATATTTTATGACACTAACTTGATGTTATGTCACTCAATGAAAAAAAGATTCACACCCTCCCACTGAACTAGAGAAAGAAGATAGGAGATAGGATTTTACATAGTTGAGGGTTAATGCTTACATTTTTTAAAAAAGTTCTTTTTAATTGACAAATTAAGTCCATTTGTGGAAGGAGGTAGATTTTTCTAGTGTATAATTTTATAGCAGTATGAAAAAGGATAGTATGTTTGATGGAGGAAAAAAGAATGCTGGATTTAAAGTCAGAAGACCTGGGCCTGAATTTTCATTCAAATACTTCCCCCCTGTGTGGCTTTAAACAAATCACTTCTGCTCTGGACTTAAACTCAATTATCCATAAAATGAGGGAGTTGGAATATATGAGTATTAACATCTCTTCTAGCTCTAAAATTCAATGATCTGATAGTGAAAAATGCAAATGCCATTCCTAACTGAGAAGCTATAGAAACAAAATCAATGATCTTGGCCTCAATCACATATTTGAAGTTGGCTATTAGTATTCTGAAGCACTGAAAATGGAACAGAACAACGTAATTGAATTAAAGGAACGTAGAGATTAGAAGCATCAACCAGCTGAGGGATTCCATCAGAACGCAGGGCCATGTTGTGTAGCCTTAAACACTTTCAAAGTGATCCTGAAGAATACAGTAATTTGTCTATTCTACATGTATTTTATATGTATTGATTATCACATCTCCCCTTTTAGAATATACACATATGTATATATGCATATATACACACATATATGTGTGTATACATACATATACACACATACACACATATGTATATGTGTATACATACATACATACATACATATACACACACATATGTATATATATATTTGCCTTTCTTTGAATCTTCAGCATATACTGTTTGCTTGCTTGGTCTGTGGAACTAGCTGCCTTTTATTGGGTTCAGATCAAAAGATTCTAAAGCCTACAGCTGAAAGCCATGAAGTCTAAGAAAGCCATGAAGGGGAGAATCCCTCCTGCCAAAAGCTGAGTAGTGGTCTTTAGAAACGACCACAGTATATGCAGGATGCCCTATTGAGTTAAGGGAAAAAAGTCATAGCTCTTCATTTTAATTGGTAGTCATTGTTTCTATAGAATGCATCTCCAAATTCTTGTTCCTTCACTATTTTCTCATTCTGCCTTTATGGTAACAACAGGAGTCTACACTATTTATTTGCTTTTCATTTAGATTCTAAAATCTTGGCTATTGATTTCAGGTATGAATAAAACAGTCAGTGACCCAGAAGAGGTATGCAGTTGTGAATGCTCTTTCTTTTATAAGATTGCTAATAAAAGTTACATAAGAACCTTTAAGGGAGAATATTCTAATAGAATATTCAAATAAAATAACTCATACAAATATCATTATTATAAACTATATACTCTTTGGGATTATGTTTCAAGACTATTAAAAATGGAATTACCTCTCATTTGCAATATATCAGAAGCTTTTAAGATGTCTCAAACCTACTGGTGGTGAATCACATCACATTTTTCTTCTGTGGTATTTATTACCTCTTCTAAGTTCTTACGAAGCTCAGGCTCGCCTGAAGGAAAAAAAGAGACAAGTTATTGGGAAGACTAAATAAGCAGGTCAAGAGGCAGTTATCAAATTTGGCAGATTGTGTATTATGCTTACTGGACTTCACAGCATATTTCTCCAAGATCATCAGGCATTTAACTTTCATTGAATAAACTAAAACTTAAAAAGTTATAGTAATTTTGTAATACTTCAAAAGCTACAAAAATACAAACTACGAACACAAGGAGGAAAAAGAAGGCAGGTTTAAACACACATTAAAAATCACAGACAGATTCTGTCTTCAGTCCCTTTTCTGCAGGGGGAAAAATGTTAAAACTGAAGAGACATAAGCAAATCCCAGGATTACTTGTCTTTCTCCATGTTCCATTGAAATTCCTGTGGATTTAAGATAAATGAATATAAGAGATCAGATTATGTTTAAAGAATACTGTATCTAGTTATACAAAATTGAGTGGAATTTATAAGCACTCAACTCATGTAATTTTTCAAGGCCATAAAATTTTTAAAAGGCCTTGAAGAAGATTTGTGACCTAAAAAGATGACATAAATCCATGACAGATAGGGAGATCTAGGTTTATGAATAAAGGAAAACAAAGAGAAACAGAATAACAAAGAACCAATTGTGACATAAAAAAAATCTCAGGACTGTATTATTTACATCTCCCATACTCTGTTTTCTAGGTCAGAGTTTTTGCTTGGTTCGGTAAGAATTAGCCAATAAACACCCATTATCTAGTAAATAAGAGGACTTAGGAATGGATCCTGGTTCCACTATTTAATATCAGAATGACCTTGGGTCAGTTACTTAACCTACATGGGCCTTGGTTTTCTCAGCTATAAAACGAATTATATGGTTTCTAAGTTGCCTTCTAGCCTCAAACCTATGATTCTATGAACGATCCTATGTCAATAGGTACAATGAGGAAATCAGAGATGGCAAGAATTTTTATCCATGGTAAAAGAAATTAAGACATAAATGGTAAGAGATAAATGTAAGATTAAGTAGGTACTTCCAAGGAATATAACACTATTGTTCGGGAAGGACAAAAAGCAATCTATTATAAAGTTTACAAAAACGAGTCCCATGAATTTCTGTTCTGTTCAAAAAGACTTTCAGAGATGGGAGAAGGCATGTCAATGACTGTTCATTGGCTTCCCTCACCATTCCTGTGACTTTCCAGACCAAAAATAATTCCTTGGCCATCATTCTTCTAAATGTGTTGTCTTCTCCTAGCAGAATGTAATCTCCTTCTGGGCAAAGACTGTCTTCCTTTTTTCCATTTGTTTCTCTCAGCCTCAGCATAGTATTTGGTACATAATAAGTACTTGTTAAATACTTTGAGTCAACAAAATTAGTTTAAAAAGTGAAAACTTGAGAAATAGTATTGCTGGTGCTCTGTCTGTCTTTAGGTCTTGCTTCATAAATTTACCTTAAGATTTGTCTGGTACTATGGGGTTAGGAAAATGAAAAGTAAATAGACATTCATTTAAAAAAATTATCAAAGCCTTTTAGGACCACAATCAAAAAGAAGTCAGATTATATCTGCCTCTCTATTTTTGTATTTATATTGCTGTATGAATATATAAAACAAAAGAAATATGTAGATATATGTACATGTCTGTGCATCTAATATCATGCCCCACTTCCATCTACATTGCTGGAAGATTTCAGGCTTATGCTATATAATAGGAGTTTTGAGATTAAATGAACCTCCATCATTCTCATCCTTCAAATAAAAAAAATGAAAATTAAGTAAGGTTTATGACTGATCAAACAGATGATTCCTTACTGAGAACTTAGAGTGTCTGCCTGACCAAGAACAAGCACCTTTACTTGGTGCACAGAGTTTGCAGCTGTGGGCCAAGAACATGTACTGCGGTCCCACTGCTGAGGCACCATTGGCTATTACCACTAAAAGGAGTAGATGTCTGTTTGTCTTAGGCACTATACTGTTACATGGTAGACTTGCATAAAAAGGACAATAGTAGAGAAGAGACAAAACATATATTCTCGTGCATTTACAAAAACTATTCTCCTCATGGTTCTACTCTCTGACCATCTCTATCCCTCTGGAAATTTGACGTCTGTCCAGAGTCTATACTCCCCCACACCCTGACTCTGATGAATGAGCCCTTTGCCTTATATTGCCTGGAACCAGACCACTAAGCCACTTCCTACAGTTTCTTTGACTTGTGCCCTCAATTCCCTCCCTCCCTTTCCAGCTCCTCTGTATGCATCTTTCCCCATTAAAAAACACTATTTGAGAATAGAGACTGTCTTGCTTGCTTAGATTTGTTTTCCCTATACTTTAGCACAAACTTCTGCACATAGTCAATGATTAATAGATGCTTACTGTCTGTCTGTCTGTCACCTCTCTGTTGGGCCATTTGTTTCCCAGCATGGGGGAATGGGAAGAGCAATAAGTTTGGAGCCAGATGACTTGGGTTAATGTCCTGCTTATGCCACTTGCTAGCTGGATGACACGGGTCAAATCACTTCATCTCTACTATACAAAACTATTTTTCTCTATTTTGTTCCTCTGAAGAACTTTGGAATCAATTGTGTGATACAGGAGACACTGGCACAGGACCACTCAGCACACCATGCCCGCATCAAAGAAGGTGCTGTGCTCTATGAGCAAGACAGAATTGCAGTAGCTCCAAAGAAACATGAGATTCACAAAGATAGAGACATCTCCTTCCCAAATGGTCATATGGACTATTTGTGTCAGAACTGTGGGAGAGCATGATTAGCCAGAGTTGGACGCAATGTACCTTAACTCCAACATAGTGATGTCATTTTGGTCCTCTTCAAGAATGAAGGACAACAACTAAGCAACCAACAAAGCTATTAGGAGGACCAGATGAGATAATGGATATAATGCCTCTTTAAAATTGCTATGTAAATATTAGCAACTAGTCTCTAATGACACACAGATGGTCTAAAGCAGTAATAGCAGAAGGCACTCTATCTAAAATACCATCAAATATTCATTAGGAAAAAAAAAGAAGGATCATGATCCTTTAGGGATTGTTATTTTAATGACAATAATGTGTATATACATAAATACATATAGTTATACATACACATGTGCTTTTATACAAAAGTATGTGAATATTTTTCATTCTATGCCTACATATATGTATATGTGTATATATATATTCTCATTTGTATATGATGGTGCATTTATGAGAATTTAATTCAATTCATACCATATGATATCATGTTAGGGCAGATTGTTTTGTTGCTGTTGTTGTTGCTGTCGTTTTTCAGAAGGGGGTATATTACTGTATCAAATTCATTGATGGGCCACTGTGATTTACAGGTCTCTTTCTATAGATTGCATCTAGCCAGACTTTCCCTACCACTTCTCTCATTTCTACTTTTAAACTTATTTTCTGGATTCACTCCTTCTAGAGTCCATAACATCGGGGAATTTCAACCATTACTTCTGTGCTGAAAATTTCTATATCCATAGCTCGTTTTGATTTCTAAACCCCTATTTCCAACTTCTTACTAGACATTTGTCAGAATGTACAACTGTAGACTAGAACTCAGCATATATAAAAATCATAATTTCCCCTCCATTTCAAACTCTACCTTTTTCAAATGCAAATGTATTCTTTCCACTATCTAGACTTGAACACTTGGAGTAACATTTGACTCCCCTAAGTTCTTTACCATCTACATTCTGTCATCTTATTTTTAGTTCATCACAGAATCAACAAGCATATATCAAGCACCTACTAAGTGCCAGGCAGCCAGGTAGTATTGTAGATAGAGTACCAGGCTTAGAGTCAGAAGGACCTGAGTTCAAATATGGCCTCAGGCATTTAATAGCCGTGTGACTCTGGGTAAGTTGCTTAACACCGTTTGCCCCAGTTCCCTCACCTATAAAATGAATTGGAGAAAGAAATGGCAAACCATTCCAGTATCTTTGTCAAGAAAACTCCAAATGGGGTCGTGAAGAGTTGGTCATGACAGAAATGACTGAACAACAAATATACTAGGTACTATTAGATGCAAGAGACACAACGAAAAAGTTGAAAAAGTCCCTAATCCCAATAAACTTTCATTCCATCCAAAGAAATGACCTGTTCACTTATAAGCAGATACTAAATATATGTAAAGTAGGTACAACGTAACTCTATAGCAGAAGGGGGGAGGCATCAGCAGCTAGAAGAATCAGGGAGGGCTTTATGTAGGAGGTAGCATTGGACCTGAGCTTTGAAGGAAGCTTGGAATTCTAAGAGGCATAAGTGAAGAGGGGATTCATTCCAGATATAAGTGACAGCTTATGAAGAGGCACAGAGATGGGAGATTGAATAATATGCATAAGGAAGAGCAAGGTCAGTTTGGCTGGATTGTAGACCGCAGTAAAGAGAATACTGTACAGTAAACCTAAAAAGCTAGGTTCGAGTCATGTTGTAAAGTACTTTCAATATCAAACTAGAGTTTGTGTTTAATCCTGGAGGAAACGGGTAGCCACTAGAACTTAAGCAGAAGAGAGTGATGGTCAAAGCTATATCTTCAGAACATCACTTTGGCAACTATATAGGGAACAGATTATAAAGAGGAGAGATGAAGCAAGGAGACAAATTAGGACACTACTGTAGTAATTTGGGGCAGCTAGGTGGTGCAGTGGATACAGCACCAGGCCTGAAGATCAGGAAGATCTGAGTTCAAAATTCCAGTTTTGGACACTTACTAGCTATGGAACCCTAGGCAAGATGCTTAACTGTTTGCTTTAGTTCCTCGTATGTAAAATGAGCTGGAGAAGGAAATGGAAAACCATCTCAGTATCTTTGCCAAGAAAACCCCAAATGGAGTCATGAAGAGCTGGACAAAGCTGAAGAAAAAAAAAACCTGAACAAATTGTAGTAATCTAGGCAAAAGGTGATGTGGGCCTGAACTATGATAGGAGTCACAGGGTCATGGCCATGTAAGTACAGGGATAGATATGAGAAATGTCAGGAAGATAGTTCCAATAAAAACTGGCAGCT